GCGTGCCGACAGACTAAGCTGTAGGTCTGGAAGCGATTTCTTCGAAAGCCCTCCTGTCAGATGGTGATGATGATGATGATGGTGATGATGATGGTGATGATGATGATGATGGTGATGACGGTGATGATGATGATGATGATGATGGTGATGATGGTGGTGATGATGATGGTGATGATGGTGATGATGATGATGATGAGGAGGAGGAGGAGGAGGAGGAGGGTGACGACGACGATGACGATGAAGATGACGATGACGATGATGATGATGATGATGATGATGAATTAATCATATTCATCAACAACACCATTATCATCATCAGAAGCCGCAGTAGCGGCAGCAAGTCTACATATCATGACCGTCAACATCAATCACCATCATCACCATCATCAACATCATCATCATCATTTACTTATGGCATGGGCCTGTTGCTCATGAACTGTTCCAAACTATTCAAAACTGTTTACCTTGGGTCTGCGGCAGCGCATCTTGTGCAGGCATGCCAAGGCACTGGAAGGTCGGAGGGGGTGGCGTGGACAAGGGCATCGGCGGTGGTGGTGCTGGTGCAACCCTCAACTCCACTCTAACACCTGGTAAGTCAACAGCGCTGACATAAGATGACAAAGCACGCCTCAGGCACTTCAGGTTTTGAAGGGCCCGAAAGGGCCTAGAGTGCCAAAACCGATTTTTCGGAGAACCGGCTTACGGCGCAGTGAACCGGTTTTTCCGAAACCGGTTTTTGATTGTAACGGAATAGCAGGCACGACAGCCGTGAACCACTCCGGAAATCTCATCAGCCAGACTCGGCAGCGTGGTTGCAAACGCTGTTTGCAACCACTCCGCGGCTACTCTCCAATAACTTTTGACAAAATAAACAATTTGAAATAGTTTGGGAAAGTGTTTGAAGCCCAATCCGCCTCCGAACAAACACCCCTACATAAACAGACCGACGCTGTGAGTAAGTCATCATCATCCATGACCGTCTCCTGCTCCTTCTGCCCCTCCTGCTCCTCCAGCTCGTCTCGCTCCTGCCGCTCCTCCTGTTCCTGCTGCTGACTCCTGCTCCTGCTGCTGCAACTGCTGCTAATACGGGTACTACTGTACATTACTATATACTGCCACGAGGACGACTACGTACTGGCACTTCTGTGCTTCCACTGCTCTTGCTGATGCTACTACCACTGGACAGAGGCAGAGACGGAGACTGAGCCAGAGAGAGAGAGAGAGAGAGAGAGAGATGGAAGGACAGAGAAAAGGTTTCTGATAGCTGTGTACCGTACCGCAAGTAGCATCGAATCTCCAAGACTCTACGCAATGCACTCAGAGCCCGATGACTTTCATCGTCTATCCGCTAGAATAGTCTACACCGCTTCACAGGCATGTTTAGTGTGCAAAACTATCTGACAGCACGTGCCAAAAAGCCGCGCATGCCAAACTAACAGGGTGGTCTCCCTGTCGGGTCCTCTTGAGCCTCCCGGCGCAAGGTTCTGACCAAAGCCTCCTGTGCAAGTGGTTGCACAGCCACTGCTACAGTTGGTGTCGTGGTTACGTAGTTGTTATGTCGATGACTGTGGACTGTGGAGGTGCTCTGCAGCGTTTCTGTCGTTGATCGCTCCTGGAGTTTTGTTATGCTGATTTAGCTGCAGTGTGATTGGTGACAGGGGTGCTTTGCTTGGCTCACGCCCTGGGCCGTCAAAGGCCGCGGCCTTAGACTTTCGCGGCATAGGAAGCGAGGTCACAATTTGGACATCGTGGTTTGAACTAAGACTGCATGGAACATGAGATTGGTTTCACATTGAACCTGAGCAGGCAGGATCTCGCTGAGAAATCCAAATTCAAATCTGTAAGGCCACAGTCACCAAGCCTTTAATCAGCCGCGCAATGCCGCACACTTTCACGGAGACTTCCTGAAATAGCAACTGCAGCCAAGGCACCAGTGCCCTGATCAGGGCCACGATGAAGGCACCGAGGCAGATAGACCCTTGGCCGAAGTTCCGTTGATAAAACTCTTCTGTCGTCGATACATGACAACGTGAAAACTACCACCTCGACATCGGCGATCAGGGCTGTGGTGTAAGGGCTGGGAAACCCCTAGGCCCCTAGGATCGTCAAGCTAGCTGCCCCATCCTGTCGACCAAACCGGAAAAGGCGCACTGCTGCTTTCAAACAAATGCCGTGAAAGCATTTAGGGGCTCTGTCGGTGCCGGGATGCCAAAGGATGTGGTGTACGCATCCTCTGAAGCCAAACATGGAGTTGCAGCTTCCGGGCTTCCACCAAGCACAACTTCACTTATTCGGACTCATTCTCTGCAAAGTTTCACGGCCTGGATTCAGAGAGCTTACCCGATATGCGTCTAGCCTCAGAGGCCACCGGAGGGCCGTCTCCAATGGCTAATGAAACTCTGCAGAACGGTTCGAGTCAAGGCCAACCAGACACAATGTTGAAGGTTAAAGCCTCCGAAAGAAACAACGTTGCGAGGCTGCTTTGATCTCGGGTGCAGATCCTGTAGAGAATAGATTTCACAAGTCCTGCATCGAGCCTATCACAACCAGCCAACAAGCCAAGATGAAAACTTCGAGCTCTCTGCTGAGTTGGGTCTCGCCGACTCAAGACACGTTCAGACATAGACCGTGCTCCCCAGTCCACGAGAACATGGACCCAAAGTCCCGCCTTGATCGCGCTCATGACCGGGGTGTCTCCAGGTCGTCGATCCTTTCTGCGTTACAAATTTCAGTGTCCTCTCTACCAAATCATCAGTCTAGTCTTGCAGAAACGACTATACTCCAGGGCTGTTGTCAATTTCAACGAGACATGCTACGCCAGGAATTGTCGACACCATTACGATCATCACCATCACCATCATCATGACCAGCATCCTCAATATCATCCTGATTATCATCCTCACCCTCATCTTCACCATCATCCTCATCATCATCATCATCATCATCAACATGACCATCATCCTCAATATCCTCCTCATTATCATCCTCATCACCATCGTCAACATCCAAATCCTCATCCTCCTTCTCATCATCATGACCATCATCCTGGTCCTCATCCTCCTCTTCCTCGTCATCATCATCGTCATCATCATCATCACCATGATGACCATCATCCTCAACATCAACATCACATTCAATACCCGGAGTTGTTGCATCTCACTATCTTGCAGGACGCATCTGTAGTTGCATGCTTTCAGTTGCTCTGTCTGTAGCAGTGATGTTGCTTCAGCCAGTTGTTTCTGCCGCTGCCATGTCGATGCTGGTGCTGGTGCTGCCTACCGATGGAAGGGATAGAAATGAAATCAAAAGCAGGAGCCACCACATAAACAGTTACCACTGGTGAGTGCCACCAACAAGACACAACATGATCGTCGTCGTGCATGATGTCTGGAACTGTTGATGCCAAAACACTTCAATTGCAGCGTGCCTCTGCTGACACCTTTCTCCCACTGGGCAGAATACAGTGATCCCTAATGAAAGGAGCATGGACTGCCTGAGTAAAGCTTGGAAAGCGCCGGGGTTCTTTGAGAAAATACCAGCGGCCGAAGACACCACAGCAAGCCGTGTAGGCCGCATCCATTGCCACTATCCTGAGACTGAGTGCTCCCGAAGTCTCAAGTCAAGGGCCACCAAGAGCCGGCAAACCAGGCTTAGCCCCAAATGTTCGCTGCTAGTCAAATCCATACGACTCGGTCGCTTGCAGCAAAATCTGACTTTAGATGCCGATGGTACTCATCACATCCCAGCCATTGTCAGTGTAGGATATGCCTCCCAGTAGTCTATAACTCATCGCGCGCTGACATGTGGAGGTGCTGCTGTCCGGTTCATGCCGTCTGAAATACAGTGAGGCACCTGGAAAGTCAAGGACAGCACTATTATGCTAAGTGGCCAGTAAGAATGCACTCTACAGTCAGTCTACAGTCTACGGTCTACGTATGCGGAACCTGCTGCAGCTTCGTCGTCGTACTCTACGGCATCAACCTATTTCTTCCAGTTGTCGTCAACACAACGCTAGTGCTAAAGCAGCATCAAAGACATGTGCCGGTTGGCTGCGGCTTGTACCCATTCAGCCAATTGAAGGGTGGGGTCCACAACAAGGAATGCCAAGCTTGAGACTACGACGCTCCAGGTGAAACCCCTGGTGTTAAGAAGTTGCATGATTTGAAAGAGCATTTACGGTTCCTTCACCGGCACCGAGTGGCAAACCCCAGTACTGAACGAAGAAGAACAGGAAGAGGAACTGCAGCAGGTGCACAGCAGGCACATTGTCGGTTCTGAAGCTTGCATCCCCAGCTCTGTCGATTCCACACGAAGTACCGGACGCATGCTGACAACGAAGTTGCTCGCTCTCTGTATCGAATGGACAGTTCCTCCAGCCCCTGAGTTTTGAAACTGCCAGACTTCTGCGACCACGGTCAGAGCCTACTATGGCAATAACAACCTCTACGGCAATCGACCTCGTGAGTCAAAGTAACTCAAATGGTTCCCGCGCATGCACACGTCCAATTCGTGATTCCAAACCAACTGGAATCCACACGATTCTCGTGCCCCCCGGCAGAACGGTGCTGTTCATTCGCTTGCAGATTCGATCGGTCTGTCTTCTGTCCACGGCAACCGTCTGGCACGGTCGATGACGGGTTTGCCTTCCGCCCACGGCGGTATTTCGTTCGGATCTCCCAATATCCCACTTGACGGTGGGAGCGCGTTTCAGCGCAAAATTAGCTCAGCGCACACGTGGGCTAGCCGATCAGCAGATGAGCGGTTGAGAGCAGAGGAAAGGCAACCGTGAAGCCCTAAAGCCCTAAAGGGAGTGGATGGGTGGGTAAGCCAAACCGTAAGGAGTCATGCAAAAGAAGAGTCTCGTGCAAAACCCAACCTTAGTCGAAGTGGGCAAGTGCGAAAACCCAAAACTCCAAGAGAAGTACCCGGCTTAACTCCAATCTTCCATAGGAAGTGCCACAATCCAAAAGACGGAGTCGGAGGGTGGGTGCGAAGCCCCAAACCCTGAAACGGAACAACCCGCAAAGGAGTAGCCGCTGCGAAGCCCAATACCCTAAACGGAGTAGCTGGCGCACAAACTCAAACTGACAAAAGAGAGTGGCTGGGTGCGGCAATGAAAACTTTAAAAGGAGTGGGTGGGTGGACACCCCAGACCCTGAAAGGAGTGGATGGGTGCTGAAGCCTCGAACCCAATAGATGAAGCACGTTCTGCGAAAACCCAAAACCCCAAAGCGAGTAGCTGGTGCAAAGCCTCAAACCCTGGGCGGGAAACTCAAAACCTAAAAGGAGTAGTTCGGTGTGATGATCCTACAACGAGCATGTGGGTGCTGAAGCCCAGACCCAGGCCCCAAAACGAGCATGCTCTGCGAAAAGCCTAAACCTTAAAACGACTAGCTGCAGTGATCCTGCGCATGCCGGAAGCTGCAGCTTCCCCCCACTTGACATGGTCGGGATCTTCTCGGAGGGTCGGTATCGAAGGCGTCGTAACCGTCAACGTGCCGATGCATGTTCGACTGGTTGCCCTGTCGCTGGTCCCAGTCTGCCGTGGTGTGCTGTTCTTCCGAACCGAAGGTGTGAAGTGTTCTCGAACCCACGTAGACTTGGCACAACGACACATTTGAGGGTCCGGCCCCGGCTTTCGCTGGCGAACTGGAGGCCCTGCCCTGCAAGGGGTCAGTGGGAATGAGTGGGGCATGCGCCGAATCAGCCCGCGGGGCTCAGAGAGACAAGGGTCTTAGACCTGCTTGTAGGGCCATTGTAGGGGTTATGATCTGTTTAAGACACATGCTTCTGGGGGGGTGGGGACTTGAGGTCTGAAGGTGCAAGAGAAAAATTCAAGATTCCTCGTGACGCCAACAACAACAACAACCACAACCCTGGCAACAGCAAGTAGAGAATGCCGTAGCAGTACCGATAGCAGCTATCCAGCAGAAGCCAAGTAGTAGCAATGGTGCTGGCAGCTTGCAACCCGAAACTTAGAGACTTGCACCCCGAACCTGAGACCGAAACTCTGCAAAAGGCCTTTGTCAGCTTGTCCATGGCTTCTTCATCATGGATGAAGAAAGCCACGAGGCTCATGCAACAAAGCAAACTCCAGAGGAAGGACCTTGCAAGCTCCGTCGGTGCTCATGTTTGCGAAACATCTCAAAATTCTATTCCAAAGCCAAAATAGACACAGAAATTGATCGTGAGACCAGGCATGCAGATGCAGGCCAATGTGGGCATGAAGGAACTGATCGTCGTGGAGAAAGTCCCAACACATGTGCAACTTGAACAAACTGGGCAACATCAGATACTGATAAATTTCTTGCGATGTGTTCTGTATAATTCTATATATGTGCCCGCTTGAAGCAAATGTGCTCGACGACAACAAAGTTACGGTGTCTGCCTCGGTGGAACTCCGATCGATTCAGGCTTTGCGTCGCGGAATCCGCCTTGCACCCGGAGCCCGTACGGACTGGTGCTGTGTCACGCAATGTTTGTCACAAAGTGGTTCCCACTCAACCTGCGTATCCCTGATCCAGATATGGCTCCAGGGCGGAGAAAACATAATTAGTGTAGGGGATGGGTGGAACCACCGAAGCTCGTAAGTCCAGTGCAACGCAAGTAACATGGGCAGATATTTGGATCGGCGCGGTGCAAAGCTGTTCCGCATGAGCTCCCAAATGCCGCCATTGATATACAATAAGGAGAAGAGCCAACAACGATCATTGCATAGCTTGGCTCCGGTTCGCCGCTTGTCAGCCAAGGCGCAGGAAGGAACCCCAAATGGAGATGAAGATCATGGACCTGGCGGCATGCGCAGTCAGGGTTCTGATCCTCCTCGCCGAAGCTGCAGCAAGATGGGCTGCTGGTAAAATCAAGTGCCTTGATGACGTGGCAAATGCCGTGGTAGGTGCAAGTACTGCTGCTATGCTGAAGCACCAAAAACATGCTGCTTAGGGCCCAGGTTTTCGCTCATGGACATTCAGCACTCCTTCTGCTGATGAAAATTCCGCAGAGGCCCACTCGTAGGCATTAGCCGATTATTCGATCTCACCGGCATCGCACCGGTCGCACTGAGACACGAGAAAGTTTAGCAGTTTAGCAGTCGACGCAAGGCTTTGCAGGAGCAGATGCTGCAGCCTCCGCTGAGGCGGAGGTGGCTTGCGCAACCGCTTTCGCAGTAGACTGTACTATGCATGCTTGTTCGTTTCGGTGATCGGAAGCCAAGGCTTGTATGCCAGTCACAGCGACGGTGTCGTTAGGCAAGGGCCAAGGGCCACGGATAATGCTGGGCGACTGACGTATGGATCTCCATGACTTTGATGATCGTCCTCGCACACAGACAAGTGTCGCCACAGGAAGCGCGCGAGTCGCACAAACCTGTTCATATTCCAGCCGTCCTCATAAGTGCAGCAGAGAAAGGCACCAAGTCCTTCCAGCAGCAGAGCACCTCTCATGCTGGCCGCAATTCAGAAGGGGGAATCTCTGTCAAGTTTTTGCAAGCCTAACTGGTGTGAGAGCAGGTTCTACCCAAAAACCACTGCAGACGAGCAGTATCGCACCTAATTCGACACCCTGACGCCTGGGCATCCAGACAAGCTGTTTGTCGCCAATGCAGCACTTGGCCAGCCCGAGCTTCCGTTTACGAAGACCCTGAAAAGCCCCAACCCAACTTCTTCCGCAGTGCTTCTTGTGGCGCGCAGGAGCAGCAGCTGTTAATGTTCAAAACACGCAAAGTGATGATGCTCCTTTACAATACCATCCACACAACTCAGTTCGCAAGCATGCACAGCATTGAAGGTGAAGCCGTCAAGGCTTGAGATGGAGAGCTGTCATGCGCCAACGTCGCCTTCCGTTCAGCCGACATGTGCCCAAGTCATTCGAGGCACACACGCAAATAAGCAGCAGCCAACTGAAAAGTTGATGGCCCCGATGATGCCTGCGAGCTACGTGCAAGGCAGTTGGGTCGCAGCAAGGTTACATGTGTATATGTATGCATGCATATATGTACATACGTATATATGTATATATGTATAAATGTATATATGTATATATGTATATATGTAAATATGTATATATGTATATATGCATATATGTATATACTTATATACAAATACCAGTATATCTGTATATCTGTATATATGTGTATGTGTATGTATATGCACGTAGACCACAATATATTACATGCAATTCTATCATATTCTGGAATGGTGTAATAAAACGGTATAAACTAATTCAACATGCATGTAATATAATAAAAGATAAGATCATACAGCAGAATTACAAATTATTGGCTCCATTACGTTATATTGGATTACCAAATCTTATCTTGTCTCATCTGCGCTTCTATTCTGTTATATGATGATTATTAATCCCCCGCTCCCCCTCCCCCCCACCAAACAACAAAAAAACAACTACCTCAAGGCCTTTCTGTATACATGTATGCTACCACATGTCTTTACAATGGCACGCACACGCACACACACACACACACAAACACACACACACACACACACACACGCATGGACTAGTGTGTACAAACAATATATGCCGGGTCATGCCCAGTCTAGTTCAACATAATATCGCATTGGTACTGAAGCCCGGCCTGGATCAGAGTTCATGGATGCCGCGGAAAAAACTTTCCGGACAATCTCTGATCCATGATCTCCGATCCATGGCGGGTTTCACTATAATTCAGTATTTATACTGAAACCCGGCCTGGATCAGAGACCAGTGATCAAAGGTTCTCCGCAAAAATCTTCCGTGGCATCTCTGATCTCGGTTTCATCCAATGTAATATTTATACTGAAGCCGGCGTGGGATCAGAGATCATGGATTAGAGAAACCGTGGCATTTGTGATCTCTGATCTTACATGTCCCGCCCTCCCGGTACTTCCAAGTCAGGATCCATCGCATCCCTGTCACCTGATCCCTGCTGGGCATGAGGTTCTCAGGCAGGCTCTCAAAGGCTTTGGCAGCAATGAAGTTCCTAACTTCAACCGTCTTAGCAGCGGCACACTGCTCTCGCTCTTCGGGGCTTAAGTGTTTCTCTCTCACTTCGAGGAGCTCATCCCTCATACCGAGAGGACTGCCGCGGCGAGCTCATGGCAGAGGCCTAGACGGTCCGAGGAGACAGGTGAATATTGGTGGGCTCAGGTAAAGGAAGAAGTTGTGCGGAAACCTCACAGGCTTTCTGGCGGGATGAGAAGGCGAGTGTTGAAGTAGAGACTGAAATGCCTAGTAGCAACCGTGAGCGGCAACATGTTGTGAACGACCCGTCTTGCAGACAGCCCATACCAGTGCTATTGATGATGGGTGCGTGGTGGGGTGGGACGAGGCGGTGGGGTTTGGTGAGGCGGAGTGAGGTAAGGGGTGGAGGGGCAGCGGGAGGTGGGGTATAGAGGGGGGGGGGGGGCAGGGGGTTTGGAGTTGAGTTTTACAAACAATGTAAATACTTAAATAATTTAAACATTATAAACTAATAGAAACAGTTTGAACCCCCTCGATTTAAATTCTTTGAATTTATTAATCGTTTTCGGATGCTTCACGATTCAGATAATTTAAGTCAGCTCCCTTCCCTTCCTCTTCCACCCTAATAATTCAAATGATGTAAATCCGCTCGATTTTTCTAGTTTGTCGTCTACACGAATTGAATCATCATGAATTATTCAATTATTTGAATGATTTAAATTACTTAACTTATTTACATTTTGTAAAATAGAGAGGAGGACGACCGGAGGGGTTGATTTAAACTGTTTGAATTATTTTCGGATGCTTCACAGTTTATTTACATCAGCTCGCTTCCCTTCCTCCTCCACCCTCATAGTTTATATCAGTTAAATTCCCTCGGTATAAACAATCGAAATGACGTGAATTATTCTCGGACTATAAGAATTTAAGTCATTTAAACCGGGTAAAATCACATCGATTCAAACTACTTGATTATATACACTATTTAAAGTATTCAAATTAATGTAAATGGGGTGGAGGAGTTTAAATCAGCTCCTTTGACCTCCTCCACCCTATTCAACATATGTAGATACATATATATATATATATATAAATGTGTGTGTTTTTAACAATGTAAATCCGTTCGATTTAAACTATTTAAACTAGTTGGGCAATTTGGGAGTCAAAATAGCTTAATAACTTAAATCCGCTCGATATGAATTATGTAGAATAACAATATATTCAACAGGGTGGAGGAGAAAGGGAGGGCTTGATTTAACTCATTTCAAATTACGTAATCTTTTCGGATGCTTCACAATCTAAATAGTTCGAACAACTTAAATCAGCTCCCTTCCCTTCCTCCTCCACCCTATTTAAAACAATGTAAATAACTTACATCCGCTCGATTCAACCTATTAAATGCATTTTCGGATTAAAAACAGTTTAGACAATTTAAACCACGTCGATTTAGAATATTGAAATGATTTAAACTTTTGGAAATGATCTTATATTAAATGCAAAAAGGCAAGCGTTTAATATACCCTAGAAGGCTCTCGGTCATATATATATATATATACTTTTTTCCAGACTCTGGATTTCCTGATTTCCGGCCTTCTGCAGGGCGTCTGACTCCAAGCCTATTGATCTCTTGCAGTACGCGAAGCCATGGAAAATTTCCAGTTGAGTTGTAGCTTATTGAGTACCTTGCAAAATTTCATATAGAATACCTTGGTTAATACCATATAAAATATACTCCTATATACCCTGTATACACCGTGCGAATACCCTTTAGCCTGTAAAAATACCTGATAGAATTCTTGTCTATATATACACCCCCTTTGACGCACCTCTTTATACATTACTTTATGGAATTCCCCTAAGAATGCCCATAGAATACCTTGCTTTACTCCTATATACCATATACATAAGCCTCATAGAATACCACCTGGAATACTGTATAGAATGCTTTGTAGGAAGCCCTCTACATGATACCCCTCGTATACTATATATATATATATATTCCGCTGAGGATCTCCTTTGGAATACTCGAAGGACACCCTATAGACAAGGATTTATGTAGGAGAAATTACGAGGAGCCCAACATCTTGTGGCTTATTGAGCAAGCGAGTCTTATGCAAGAACTGAGAAATAAAGGAGAATGGCCTGTAGAACACCTTACAAGCTACCTTTTCTACAAACCTTACAAAAATTTCTTACAAAACACGGTAGTACCTTTTAGAATGCCCCTTATATGCCTTGTATATACCTTGTGGAAGAACAGCCATCTATACCCTATGAAATACCCCCCTGGAACAAATCGAAACTTATCTAGTAAGGAATACATCTAGAGAACAAGATATGGAATACGCTTTACAATTCCCCCGATATACCCTACCCATACCTTCTAGAATACCATCTGGCATGCCCTGTAGAATACCTTACCGCCTATATATGATACTTGTATGCCTCATGTCTGCCATATAGCATACCTATAGAGTACCTTATAGGATACCCAGTAGAATCCCCTATAGCATACCCTATCAAGTACCCTATAGATGGGGTTTTCAACATGGAAAACCAGTCGGAGCCCAAGATCTGAGAAGTCCCCAATTGAATTGTAGCTTCTGGGTATGGGATTCCCATGAAGAAAATGGTTAAATCAGGAACGAAGAAAAATAGCTTTACAACTATCTGATAGAATACCCCCTCTATATACATTAAAGAGTTTTATCTACCTATAAAATACCGTTCTAAATAAAGGCTACAGCTTGCCTTTTGTACAATCCTTGATGGACTACCTGATGGACTACTTTGCAGAAAACCCTATAGAATACCATCTAGAATGCCCTGTAGTAGAATACTTTACAGAAGACCGCTTATGTAATATACCTTCTGTATACCTTAAACAACTCATACAATATCCTCTAGAATATCGTTTAGGATACCCTTTAGAATACTTTATGGAATACCCTATAGCATCTCCGATAGACAACGACTTAAATTAGGAAAATCAGGAGGAGCCCATCGTTTAATAGCGTAGGTTCACAACCGAAAAATGCAAAAAACAACGCGAGGTTTTTGAATACCACAGCACATGAAATGCAATACCTTCCGACAGTTTCGGCTTTCCGAATACATGAAGTGCTATATTTGTTGGCCGAAATTCGGCCGCGGATTTATCGATGCATCGAAAAAGATGCATAGCAGCACGGCTGTATGTCTTCGAGGGTAAAGGCGATTATGTCGATATTTACGTGGTTTCTGTACCGATGACTAGTGTACACATATAAGTATGCATGAGATGGTATGAAGCCTGCAAGCGTAGATCTTGAGGGGGGGCGGGGTGACCATACATATATATATATATATACATACATACATATACACGCTATGTAAGGCTATATACTTATATATACACATGTATTCACATCGATATTTCATGAAGAGAGGTCGTGGAATTAGCACGATACAGGGCCCTGGGTCGGAGGGATGCAAAGACTCGCCGGTTTCCGTTTGCTGTTTGCGAATGCAAATGAATGAGGTCCCTGAATCTGCACAACATGACCCCCGCTCCAGACTGGGTTTGTGTGTTCCCGGCCAACCCAAACCCAAACCTCTGCCAGGAGCCCCAAACCCTGTACTAAGCCACCCAACATCGTCTGGGAATGCAGCTGGAGATATCTGCGCCTGGCATCGGCCATTTGCCTTCCACCGGGACCATCATGACGACTCCCACGACGATCATGACGGTCGGCCCTCAAAGAGCTTATCTGAAGGGCTCACGGCAAAGTGCTTTGTTCAGCGGTCGGTTTGGGCTTGCGAGGTTCGGATCTCGGCTGGGAGCCTGGATGCGGGACTGCGAAGGGATGTGATACGGCGAGTATCGGCGAGCGTTCTGAATGCTTTTCATGTTGAAGCGCAAGGTGTTGTATTCGGTTTCGGGGAAGTTTTACAATTAGCACTTAGCACTTCTCGTGCCGATCAGGCCTATCATACAACGAGCAGCATTCGTAAAGCAAAGTAGCGGGCAGCGGTTGTTTTGCAATGTGTGGACCTAGCACCTCGCTTGCGATTCGCCTGACTGATGCGCCATGATTTTCCGCCACGGCTGAAGGTCAGCCTTCGCTCGATGGCGCCAGCAAATCTTGCAGAGATTGAGCTATATTGGAGGATTGCAGTTTGGCAGGGTTCGTGTGCTAAGCTGTCTCGTTCCCACATTATGCGACACGTAAACCCACGCGCATGCTACAGTTCCAGATGGACACCCTAAATCCTGAGGACAAGGATCCCAGCAGCAGCGCGCACCAAATAACCAACTCGGAAAATCTTTTGGCAAGCTCCAAGAAGACGAGGGAGAACACGATCGCCACCATGCCTGAACAAAGCTGAACATTCAGAGTCGGAGGTCGGAATCACTGTAGGATTTAGGTCAAGGGCCAATGCGATGCAGCGACTCGGTGCCTCCTTGACCCAAGATCCCCCTTCAACCAGAATAGGGACATAAGCGAGATTGCACAAGCTGCGGCATGTCAAGGCCGCAAGAACAAGATGTTTCTGCTCGGTATGAATGCTGGTGCCTTTGCTGGCGACGCTGGCGATGGTCAAGGCAATGACGGTGACGACTATGAAGATGAAGACGAAAACTAGGACGAAGATGCCGATGAAGACGAAAACGAAGAGGATGGTGCTAGTGCTGGTGCTGGTGCTGGCGTTGGTGCACGTGCTGTCTCCGGCATATGCCTGCTGAACAACATGGCATCCATGGATTCCTGCCCCATTCTACAAGAAACGGCATTTGTTTGCCGTTGAACTGATCGCTTTCCTGTTATTGGTGCACAAATGATTATTGCCTCACTGAGGTCCTGGACAGACGGGAGATCACCGCTTGATTGGCATTCGTGCTAATCCTCGATATTCTCGTCGTTCTCATCATTTCAGGACTCTGGCTACCCTGGGGACTCGCATTGTTCCCGCCGCTCCGACAATTGCCAGGGATTCTGCTCCGGTCAGTATTCGAGTTCCGCTCAATATAGTCATCAATTCTCGCTCTGATTTGCGAGGTTTCTGAAGAGTCCAATATTCCTCTGGTCTCGGCGTAGCTTTTCATTCTCTATTTCTGACTTTGGCAGCTGAACTTCTTGCGGCTCGTGTTGGCTTCATGTGTCTTCACATGCCCATCAGATCCATTCGTGTGGCATAGCTTGGTGAAAGCAGTGGTTGCTTGCTCGAGGCAGACCAACATCTGAGTGCATTCCACGTCCAAACAGGCCACAAGCCCGAAGTCCATCCGAATATCCGATCACATTGTAAATCCCCGGGCAAAGGGCGACGTGAACCTGATGCTGTTACACAGGCCTGCCGCAGCTAAGGCGTAGCCCACAGCGAACAAGCTGTTCTCGTACCTGCAGGTTAGTGCAAAGTCAGCACAATGACAAACCACAACCATGAATTCCTTCGGAGTCTAAGCGCTCTTTGCTGTGGCTCTTCAATCCGAGACTCGCATGGAGCTTGGCGGAGACTTTCGCCTCAAGGCGTCTGAGTTAGTTGAGGTTCAGCAAGTTGGATTCAAGCGCTGCTGCAAGCTTCGGTGGTCAGAACTTGCACTGGGGTTCTGAAACGCAAGGCGTAAGGCTGCTGTGCGAGTTGCGTTTTTTGGCCAGGCACGCGGTTTGAAGGACTCGGGCTAGCGGCTGGGTTCATGCAAAGAGCTGTATAGAGGCCTTCGACTTCAGGTAACCGGAAGATGCAAAAATGCTCTCATATTCCAGAAACAACCCCCCAATCACAATTGAATGAATGAAATCCAGTCGCCACCTGTCCTTGGTCGGCACCTCCCGTAGCGGCGATGATACCAGATGCGCACCAATAGCACAGAAATCCTGCAACGCGAACCACTATACACAGGCCGGTCACGATGTAGCAAGACAACACAAGGGAACTTTGAGTGTAACTCGGTTGCCTTGTGTGTGTCTGTGTGTGTCTGTGTGTGTGTGTGTGTGTCTGTGTGTGAGTGTGTGTGTGTGTGTGTG